ATGACGTGATTGCAACTGTTACCGTGGGAGTTATTTCTTTCTTGTTTCAGTTGCTCTCCTGTGAAAATTTGCTGCTGTTTCCACTTTATATTCTTTGGAAATACAACATTTGTCAGGTTTGCACTGCTGATGGGACAAAACTAGGCATGTGAAGAGGTCTGTGTGGGCTCTGCGATTGGCATTTTTCACTATTTTCTAAAGTTTCATTTAAGAATCTAAAAGAGGAGTCAATTAATTCAGAAAATAATCACTAACATCATTAACAGTGACATTAATCTTTAGTTACGTCTCTAATTCTGATTTGCAGGTTTATATATACGTTGCTTTTACACAAATTCCAGATAATGCAAAGCCCCAGATCACTTGAAAAAAACACTTTGCTCCTCATTTATCGATGTACACGATGAGCTCACCTGTCTTATGGCGTGTCGATAGTGCTGCTGCATCGCTGCAGATGGTAACTGCCTGCAGCATCTGAGCAGGTATCGATAGAGCTGCACTGGTGTCTGAATCAACTCAGTTCCAACTAACGGTGGCATTCCTTTCTCCTTTGGTTATACTGCTGTGGGTAAAAACGAAAATGTAGTGTGAGTTTGGATCAGCAACATAAGTTGATGAAGTAATAAATATATATGTGTGTCAAGGTTAAGAGTGTGTGAGCATCCATGTGAGCTCACGTTACCTTAGCTGAACGGTGAAGAGTGAACAGAATTATGCAGTGATCTTAAGCCATTATAATGCAATCACCTTCAGCCAAGTGGTGTTTTCTTTCCTAGCTCAATATCAAACCTTTCAATCAGCCCTTTGAATAAATGCTAGTGTATTTACTGTCTCACAGTTGTAGAGTTCCACCTCAGGATTTCACCTGAAACAACCACCTAGATACTGACTGATATTTAAGGTCAGATATTGNATTTAATAAATCAATGCAGAGGTGATACAAGTGTTTTAGTTTGATTCGTCATTTTGAAAGACATGGTCTGACCTGTAACTAGTTTCTTCATTCAGTACTGACATCAGCACTACTACTTCAACTGCTTCTGATTTTGACGTAAAAATATCTGAACTTTTAGCCATCTGTGCGAGCCGTGCTCCACAAATCCTGGATCCTACACTTCGACAAGACAACAGCAGCAATCCTCTCCTTTACATTGCAGCTTGACTTTGATATGGAAAAATTTGTGGAATATACCTTTAAAATCACATTTCATGCAAGGAAGTATGGCATCTCTTTCAAGGTCATTTCAAAGCTGCTGGTTTTATGTGGCATCTGCAATAAGTCAGGGTGACATTATGACCACCTTGTAGTGGACTGTAGCGCCAGACTTCATGGAGTCTCTGTTCATGTCTATAGTGTGTCGCTGCACCCAGAGTAAAGAGACAAATAAGTTCGTGTTTTCAAATTAATTTAATGAAAAAAATCTTAGAACGGTATTTACACATAGCAGTAAGCAGTCATTTAACACAGTATAACTAACAGTCCATTACCTGCGAGTTGTTCCTCACATGACAAACACAAAACAGTAAGAACAGTAACACCACGAGCGCTCGGACACAGAGACAGCACATCGACTGTTATGGCTTCCATCAGGTGCAGCTCTGCTAAATGCACCGCCTGTGGACACGAACCCACCGTGTGAAGCTCACTTCTTCTTGGTGTACTGTGAATTATAAGAAAATTAAAATGTACAGTTAAGATTAATGGGTGTAAAAAAAATAAGAAAGAAAGAGAAGTCCTTCCCTCGTACGTACTTTATTAAGAATCCAGTCTGCGTCTGTGATCGCTCTTTGGATGATCATTTGTATCCTCTCTGGGTCGTCTTCGTCTGAGTGGCTGTTGTAACCCTGGAAACAGAAAAGCAAAGGATCTGGATAAAAGAGCAGTTATGTTTGTAATGCTTCTGGCAGAAAGTGCTTCATCGTGGCAGACCAAGGAAACCATTATTAACAGATCTGATGATGACACGAACGCAGGGTTTTCACTGACTCACAATGGGCCTTTGGTGGGTGACTACACACAANTAACGTAGGTATGTGTTTGAGGAGTGAGTTAAAATCTAGCACGTCATGGTATTATCATAAATGTAGTTATCAGCAGGCTCATCAGTGTGTGCTGGTATTATTACTACAAACAGTGTCTCTGAGATCATTTCATGCAGGTAAATCACTGGTGGTCTGCTTTACTGGACCAGTCTGGTCTCCGTCAGTCCCCTGTTATGTGCTCTTGTTTCAGATACCGTATTGAGTATGAAGCCCTGTCCAAAGTGGAGTCCGAGCAGAACGAGTTCATCGATCAGTTCATCCTGCAGAAGTGAAGACTAACGGAACACAAACATGTTCGACTTTTCCAGAGTGCCTGTCCTGTTTTCTCTGGCTGATCAGAGAAATACTCTGCTGCAACTCTTTTTCTGAAGCAATCCCAAAGCTCCAGCTTCGTTCACACATCCTCCTCTTGACACCAGTTCTCTCAGACATGCTTGTGTGTGTGAAACAACAGCCAGCTGCCTACTGTAGCTCCTCCCACTCTGGCCAGCGAGCTTGACTGCAGGTGGAACCATATGTTCTGTTCACACCAAATGTCTCAACATCTCAGACCAACATTGAAGAAGATGGAGCTATTTATACAAAGGAAAACTATTTATACTATTTATACTAAAATTACTCTGTATATCTAGTTTTATTACTTTTTTATCCATTGAAATAAATACTGCATGTGCATGCATTGGAAAAGAAGTTTTAGTTACAGTAAAGATGAGCAGGATCAGGATGTTTCTTGTTAATTGTTCCTTCTGTTGGTACAGCACATCAGAAACATTCTCCTCTTATTCAGATAAATGTTTGTTTTTTCTGTTCTGTATATCATTGGTTATACTTGAATACTGTATATCGCACAAAAGTATGTTTTTTGCTGTCCAGATGTAGGAGATGTGGGTGAGCAAGTTTAACATTGTGCTATTATGTCTTGTTTTAATAAAGATGAGTTGATATCCGTCTACTCTGAGGTTCTGTTTTTCACACACACAGGCAATGAAACTTTAAGCAAGAGTTGGACACTGTAGAAGGAAGTTACTGATGATCTAGATCAGTGGTTCTGAGCCACGACCCCCAAGATAACATAAGTTTGCGTTTGTGACC